ATAGCACGGAGTGACTGTCTTGAAGTCTTCTTAGAAAAACATCTGGCCGCATTATATGCAAAAATCAAATGGTCGAACGACCACTTATACAGATCCTTTCTTTCATACGGATGCCTAAGAACACGAGAAACAGACATTTTCAAGGACTCAGAACGTGAGCAAAATTTAGAGACAGATTCTATCTTGAATGCACACCCATTTTCAAACCATGCTTTGCAATGCTTGAGCTGATCCCTACCAAACGTACTTGTAACTACTGAAGCACCAAAGACATGCTTCAAAACCTTCCAAGAATCAGGCAAAATGCGTTTCGAAACTGCAGAAAATGATCTAATGCCCGATCGGACACACTCATTAAGGATATGCATCAAGGAGATAGACGAGATACCGACCGAGGTAACATAGAAAGCTAATCTATGGTCATGAGGTTGACCGCCACAATCTAGTAGTTCCTCGTTAGGAGTCCGAGCACGAGTTTTCTTGGCCGCTCTGTGTCTCTCACGCTTACCCGGTCGGCAGAGTTTACCCTTCTTCCTGCTATTGCTGGCTGGTCTACTATTCAGGTAGGGAGACGCCCAACTAATGAGTTTGGATTTGGCACGCAGCAGGTCTGAGGTCTGGGTTGTAGCCAGAGGTAGAGCAACATAGTTATACATTTCTGCCCTACGTAGCCATGTGTAAAACCTATGATTACGGACAACACCAGAGGAGACATCCAAGGAGTTGGTCCGGTGAACGTGCTCAGTCCACCTTCAATCCAAGGAATGACTAGTACATCCTATATAGCAGTGTTCATGAACGGGGAAATCAGACAATAAACGACTGGACCGGGAGAAGTAAAGAAGTCATATCCAGATTCAAGGAGATGCATCAAGGAGTCGGAGAATTTCCAACCCCAAGGAATTTGCTTTGAAAGGATGAGAGCGACAACAATGAGTCTCAACAAATGATTAAGATGTGGATCTAGAAGTCCTATCTTGGACGTGCGAAGGGAGAGACATGCATTGAGGAGGTTCCACAACGACCCATCGCTCAGGCGAAATCCCTATTCTCGCGCGATAGGTTCGTCTTCGTCGATGTCAATGTGCTGCGTGGCTTGCTCATCAAGCCTATCTTGGTCATCTTCTTTGGGTTCTTCAACTTCAGAATCTTGGGCTTGGCGAGTCGGCCTTGGTTGTGGACGAAGATCGAAGGCTAGGGATGCTCGTAGTTCAGCTATCTCGTTGATGGCTTGTTCGCAGGTAACAAACGTTATCCCTTCCTTGCCGCAAAGAATCTGCATCCCGTGCTTCTTCAGACGTTTGAGATACTAACTCTGCAAGGGGCATCGTGGCGAAGGTTCTGGCTCGATCCAAAAATGAACTGATGACAGCGAACTTTTGTTGCTTACTAGAAAAGGAAGAGAAATCTTGAATCGCCTGAAAGGAAATAGTATCTGAAGCAAGCATGGCAGCCTGACTACGATGAGTAGGGGCGCAGCGTATGCTCATCGGATGTGGAAAAACCTGTAATTGGCAGCCAAAAAAGTCCCATATTCCACCGGAACTGGTTTCTTCTAAAGTCAAGTTGCTATCGTAGCAGCTTCTAAATCGGTGAAGAATGCAGTCGGCCTTTCTTCGTGACCATTGTTTACCCTGCTTGTACTTGATGAAGATGGACACATCATCCACCAATCTTACGCCATGAATCAAAGCACGATCCTTCCTTAGAGAGCTAAGAAAGTGGAATTCGTTAAACATACACAACATAGCTGCTAAGGCAGGGCTGGAAGAGTTACCCATTGGGACTCCAACATTCTGTTTGATTAGCTTGTCCATGACCATGACATACAAGTGTTGAAGATCGAAATCGACAAACTCTTCAATTGTAGCGAAGCTTATAAATTTCCAATCTATGATAGACTTGCTAGAAGAGAGTCTAGCTCCTTTCCCTCTCTTTTTTACCCAGACTCCATCATAACCTCGGAACTTGAAGCAGTGAGAGAACCATCGGACTGCATCTCGGATGGAGGCATGGGGCAATCTACTGAACATTTCTTTAACATCAAAACTTGCGCTGATGAGAGCGTCAGAGGAGGTAATGGAGCTATTGATCCTGTCCAGGGTTGGTACTAACTCCTGCATACTATACAAGTTGAAATGCGGCATTGCAGTCAAGTTTTTCACGAGTATAGAGCGATGGTTCAGATGACGTGGGACGAATTGGACGCCACTTGCGTATGTCCTTATGTTTGGGGATGGCATATCCCCATCCCAAACACCCTTTCTTGTTCCAATTGCCTATCGAACCAAAGTGAGAATCACAAAACTTCGCCCGACACTCTTCCCGAATCATAGCCTCATCTTTATCTTTCTCGATACAAAAACCAGGGTTTTGTAAGAATAGCATGTTCATTCCTTGCCGGTAAAAGACAGGACAGCAAAACAGTGTATCACCAGGATTATGATCCAGGGGTACGAATACTAGACCATTGAATAAGTTTTTCCATTTGGAGACACTCTGGGGAGTGAAAGGTAACATGCGCAGTTCTTGTAGGCAGTCGGGAAGCGAAGAGGTGTAATCAGATGCAGGGGGAATCAGAGTCGAAAGGCGGGGACCGCAAGAAGGGATAATAGCAGATGAGACAAGCTTGGGAATGCGTTGCTTGAAGCAGGATTTCAGCGAGGCGGTTGAAATAGAGAAGGTGGGGTGTTTCGACGGAAGAGAGGGAATATTGTTGAGGGTGCGGAGAAGTTGTGAGCGTAGGAGGCTTGGAGTGCATATGGAGGAGGGAGGAATATTGTGGGAATTAAGTAGCCACGAAGGGAGTATGATAGAATCCTTAGATCTAAGGGCGATATGTCCATCTATGGACGGGAGCAATGAGCTGAGGAGAGGCGGAGGGTCGGAGTGGGACATAGGATTCGTCGACTCAGGTGCAATGAGGTCAGAGACGCGACCGCGAACCTGATCACAGGAACAGAGCATGGTGGGTTGATGTGAGAAGGAGTGGAAGTTATGCAATAACTGAGCTACACTCCTGTTTTTTGTCCATACTACATGCATACGTCGTGAGAGCATACTGGCCAAAGAGGAAGGAATTTTAGATTCACGAATGAGGCGAGCACACAATTGACGAACGACCGATTTTAAGAGCTTGTCGGAGTATTTAATCCGAAAAACGAGTCGTCTTCGAGGGGAGAATGGTACTGGATAAGATAGCACGGAGTGACTGTCTTGAAGTCTTCTTAGAAAAACATCTGGCCGCATTATATGCAAAAATCAAATGGTCGAACGACCACTTATACAGATCATTTTTTTCATACGGATGACTAAGAACACGAGAAGAGGCATTTTCAAGGATTCAGATCGTGAGCAAAATTTAGAGACAGATTCTATCTTTAATGCACACCCATTTTCAAACCATGCTTTGCAATGCTTGAGCTGATCCCTACCAAACGTACTTGTAACTACTGAAGCACCAAAGACACGCTTCAAAACCTTCCAAGAATCAGGCACAATGCGTCCGCCTTTCGAAACTGCAGAAAATGACCTAATGCCCGATCAGACACACTCATTAAGGATATGCATCAAGGAGATAGACGAGATACCGACCAAGGTAACATAGAAAGCTAATCTATGGTCATGAGGTTGACCGCCACAATCTAGTAGTTCCTCGTTAGGAGCCCCAGCACGAGTTTTCCTGGCCGCTCTGTGTCTCTCACGCTTACCCGGTCGGCAGAGTTTACCCTTCTTCCTGCTACTGCTGGCTGGTCTACTATTCAGGTAGGGAGACACCCAACTAATGAGTTTGGATTCGGCACGCAGCAGGTCTGAGGTTTGGGTTGTAGCTAGAGGTAGAGCGACATAGTTATGCATTTCTACCCTACGTAGCCATGTGTAAAGCCTATGATTACAGACAATACCAGAGGAGACATCCCAGGAGTTTGTCCGGTGAACGTGCTCAGTCCACCTTCAATCCAAGGAATGACTAGTATATCCTATATAGCAGTGTTTCATGAACGGGGAAATCAGACAATAAACGACTGGACCGGGAGAAGTGAAGAAGTCATATCCAGATTCGAGGAGATGCATCAAAGAGTCCGAGAATTTCCAACCCCAAGGAATTTGCTTTGAAAGGATGAGAGCGACAATAACGAGTCTCAACAAATGATTAAGATGAGGATCTAGAAGTCCTATCTTGGACGTGCGAAGGGAGAGACATGCATTGAGGAGGTTCCACAACGACCCATCGCTCAGGCAAAATCCCTATTCTCGCACGATAGGTTCGTCTTCGTCGATGTCGACATGCTGCGTGGCTTGCTCATCAAGCCTATCTTGGTCATCTTCTTTGGGTTCTTCAACTTCAGAATCTTGGGCTTGGCGAGCCGGCCTTGGTTGTGGACGAAGATCGAAGGCTAGGGATGCTCGTAGTTCATCTATCTCGTTGATGGCTTGTTCGCAGGTAACAAACGTTATCCCTTCCTTGCCGCAAAGAATCTGCAGCCCGTGCTTCTTCAGACGTTTGAGATACTTCTTCGTCTCCTTCAGGAACTCAGCTCGCTCCGTTGCAGCGTTCTTGGAAGCGAGTCTTTCAGAGACTCTTTTCGGTGGAGGTGGTCGCAAGGTAAGATCATCCACACCATCTTCATGCATCTCCTGAGCGTCCTGGTCATCATCATCCAGAGCCTCATTCATTCTTCTTGAGAGATTGGAGCGAGGAGTGCGTCCTTGCCTCCCCAGCTTCGAAACCACACGTTCAAATCTTTCTCTAAGTGCTTGCACGTCCATATCAGTGATTCGCTTCCCTTCCTTGACAGTATGGAATGCTTTTAATAGCTTCTGGAAGTCATCGGAGGTAGGAGTCCCGACGCCGACAACTTTCGCCTTGCCTGAGGAAGGAGCCTCAGGTGGGCTGGTAATGCAAACTCCCGTACCCGACCTCTTCAAGGTATTCCCAGACATCTTGACAGTTCGAGAGAGCTCGTCCATATTTTTCTTAATGGTCTCATACTCACGGCGCAGTGTGTCCACCTGCCTCTCGAGTCGTTCACGCTCGACTTCTATGTGAGATCTACGAGAAGCATCTGGTGCTGAGACATGTCTCTGCGCATAGGATTTCCCCAAAAACAGCTCACAAGCATCATTGATCTTGGAGCCGACGATCGATCCGATCCGTTCTTCGAAGTCTTGTCTCTCCTTGCGTTTGCGAAGTGCTTTTTCCTTAGCCTCCTTTGCCTTACGTTTCTCCTCCTCTTCCTTCAGTAGCCTTTCCTTCTCACGAATTGCCTCTTGTCTGGCTTCAAGTTCTGAAGCCATGAACTCGAATACTCTGTCCAACTTCTCTTGGTTTAGCTTCCACCAAGATTGCTTGGGAACCATAACTTGGCCTGCGGAGAAGTTAGAATTGGGGTTTGGGTTAGCGGATTGAGCAGAGGGGGGTGGGGGTAGTGCGAGCAGCGGTGCCTGCGAAATGGAGAGCATGGAAGAGTTCGGATTAGAGGGAGGTGGGGACAAGGGCGGGAACGGAGATGCACGGGGCTGCTGAGAAAAGGAAGGTTGACAATAAGGGCAATCTCGCGCAAAATGGCCCGGCATATTACAATTGAAACAAAGCCAAGGTGCCGACATTTTGCCCAAAGCTAGAGGGAAATAGATGGTTGAATCTTGCAAACAATTACACGAGAACAGGCGACAGTCAGAACTTTCACTAGAAAAGACTTCGATAATAGGTGGACGAGAAGGGTGAGGTGGCTGAAGGAAAAGACCAGGAGTCGTTAAGATAAGAAGTAAGCGTCGAAGTTTGGACAAAAAGGATGAATGACGAAGGATGAGAGTTACCAGATGGTGGGGGTAAGGAACGGATGGAAAATTATGTGCGAACAGCAGACGACTACAGGGCGAACAAATAGAGGGCAAAGGAACGAGACAAGGGTTGAAGAACCGATGCAAGACGAGAATGATAGATGACAAACAACAAGTGACAAAAGATGATAACAAATGATGACAACTGATGACAGTCGAATAACCCAGCAACCACTCTACTGTAGTGTAATTTCTACAAAGGTTATTGCCTGAGCTGCAGGAAGTAATTAGAGCATAGCCGAAGCGCAACTCTTCTCACGTAATAACGGTGAGAATATTAAACAAAGAAGGGAGACAAGAAGGGAGCTCAAAGTTCAGCAGGGAGGATATCGTCTAGAGTTTCTGGATCGTCTGTTATCCTCTTCTCTTCTAGTTTTAGCGATAGCATAACGTAAAGTGTCATAGGAGATTTCAGAGAAAATCCTAAACACTCGTAGCCAGAAAATAATAGCATCCAGAATCCAGAGGAGGACGTTATGCCATTTCATTCTGCCAATACAGTGAGCACAAAGGGTAGATAATCAACAGGAGGAGAGGCAGTTCACAACGAACTCATATGAAAGGATGCAACAAGATGAAGATATTTTCAACCTGCAGCCAACTCCACAGCCAACTCCACAATCCCTAGTACTGAAAAATCAACGAAATTTATCAAAAAGTTCATCACTAAAAAATATAATCACAATAGTCATGTGAACCCTAATTTAGTGACCTAAATTTCACCAACCATTAAAAAATAATGTGAAAAAGGAACTACTGAAGAAAAACGAATCGAAAGTAGAAAAAGGAAACAAGCGGACAATAGTCATGTGAACCCTTATTTAGTGACCTAAATTTCATCAACCATTAAGAAATCATGTGAAAAAGGAACTACCGAAGAAAAACGAATCAAAACCACAAAAAGGAAACAAACGGTCAGCGCTGCGTGATCATGTCCACCATTCATCTGGAGTTATTACCAACCCCTGCCAATCCGCCCTACCACCCGCGTGGCAAGGGTCTGTGCCCACAGGCCCCGAACTACTGACAAAGACCCCGCAAATCCACCCACCTCCTCGTGATTTAAGTCGGATAGCGCCTCCCCACCACGATGCTGTTTTCACTAACTACGGGATTACCCTACCTCCCGTGCGGCAGGGGCTAGAAAGCCCCGCAAAACCCACCCACCTCCTTGCGATTTAGGGTAAACCTCTGCCTCAATCTACATACACCCCCTACGGATGCTTCACCTCCCTCCATGACGAAACCTTTGTGGAGCAATGCTCACCACTTCTCCTTAAAAATTCATATGACAGCAAACAGCAGCCTATTAAGATGAAATGAATATCTGACCCAAATTCAGCGGTAATACCCTACCTCCCGCACGGCAGGGGTCAAAGACCCTGCAAACCCACCCGCCTCCTCGCGGTTTAGGGAAAACCACTTCCACTAATCTGCACCTTCTCACAAGGAAACCCCACTGCCCACCATAATGGCGTTTCTACAGAGCGGCACTCTCTCTTTCATTCCATCGCATGCAAAACGCTACACAAGAGTCGGAACTAATTATGACAATTGTTACCCAAATGGCGAAAAAGGACTCAAATAACTACAGAAACCAAATGCTGTCATAAAAAGATGGAAACCAAACCCACGATCGCTCGACCCGAATGTGTAACCAAACCCAATATCTCCGTAAACCAGCAGCGATACCCCACCACCCGTGCGGCAGGGGTCGAAGCCCCCGCAAACCCACCTAGGGCCTCCTCCTCGTGATTTAGGGTATTAAACTACTCCACTTATCTTTGTCGGCTCCCAAAGAGACCCCGCCGCCCACCATGATGGAATCCCCGTGGAGCGAAACTCACCTATTCGTGGCAGATTTCCAGAACCAAATCAAAAACTTATACGAAACCAACAACAACAATCCAACACAAAAAGTTCACTATGTACAACTCTCTCTCTCTCTCTCTCTCTCTCTCTCTCTCTCTCTCTCTCTCTCTCTCTCTCTCTCTCTCTCTCTCTCTCTCTCTCTCCCCCCGACCTTAACACGGGCCACGACAGCTGAGCACACCCAATCCACGAAGTCGATTTGTGCTCCTTCTGGAGATCGTAAGCGAAATCATCACGCGCCCCGGCTGTGCAATGAACACAAGAAGTCTGGCAATCTCCCGTAGCTCCTGTCTTCGTCACCTTCGCGCGCTGTCCCTCACAACAGTGTCAGGGCAGGAGACCCCCGCAAAAACCTCCATGTCAAAGATCGAGGGGCAAAACCCCCGATCGGTCTCATCAGGTATGGTGCAGTGTGGGAGGTGCGGGGCGCAGCGCTACCGGGAGCGCTGCGCCCTGCTCGAGCAGGGGCACCCGGTTCTAAACGGCGTAATTTTGGCCGAATAGGAATTATAAGCGACTTGTTAGGGATTTCGAGGGTGTTGGAGCATTTGTAGGACCTCTGCGGTCTATTTCCATGTTTCCCGAATTGCTGCAAATGTTCTCAGACACTTTCTCAGCTGAAGGCGTGTAATGGCCCCGGTATCTCGAAAAAGAGATCGAGGTGAGTGGGAGATGGAGATGGTGGGATATCACGTGTCCTACTAGTAAGGGGGCTAGCTGGTAGGATGGGAATAGGGCACAGCAGCAGCAGAGATGGTGGCTCTGCTGCAGTAAGTCTTGCCAGAGTGGGGTACAGGGGATTGACTGGGGGTGCGATATCATTTTCTGAATTTTGCCTACTACTGACTTTCGTCGTAGTAATTTTCTAAGTAGCTCTTTTTTTTCTTAGCCAAAGCCAGGTAATGGCCCTGGTATCTCAAATTTTCCAGATTCTATGTAAATTTCCATATGGGGCGCTGGGCCCGGTCCCCAGCACGTG